AGTTCATATCACAATTTTCCAGGGACTATTTTCAGCTCTGTGTTTTTAATGTCTGGGACAGCAGACTGGTCTGAATCTCTTTGGATTCTCTGGTTGTTGTGCTGGAAAGAGTAATACTTTATATAACTGAATTTGCAAATTAAAGTCAGTGGATACTCCCTGAGGGATCGTGCTAGTCTTCTTGATCCACTGCTTCATTAGTTGGTTATTAGGGCCAACATCTGTAAACTGCCTGCAAGTAGTCATTTTCAAATAAAGATTAACATGAACTTATTACCATTTTTAAAAATAAAATAAGGCACTTTTACTTGGAGTGTGCAGAAAGCCAAGTTATGTATTGTTGGAAATGTCTCAAAATCATTAATTTACTAACTACTATTTAACATGCTAAATCAGAAGTAATGCCACTTTTTGTTTGCATTCCTTGAAAGACAAACTGTGCTATTATAAAATTTGTTTCAGCTGAGAGATGTCTTCCTTAAATGGGTCCTAAAGATTTTGAAATCTCTGCTTGGTCTTGCTGGATGCAGAATCTAATCCGAGCCTCTCAAAGAGGCAGAAATGGGTAGCTGGCCTGATTACAGCTTCTAGTATCTTTGGATCCTGATCTTTCTTGATACTATTTCTGTGGAACTTTTGATTCTAAAACAAATGTTCCAGTGGATGTGCAGTGGAATCCTATCAATTGAAATGCTTCTGAAGATGCAATCCAAACCTTTTTGCATTAAGGTTCCATTAAATTAAGGGATGTTTTAGGTGTTGTTATTATTACTTACAGTATATAATCATATTATATTAATAATAACAAAAATATGTTATTAGTGTAGTGTGACCATAATAGGGTAGTGTTAATCTAAGACATTCTCATGATAAATAACCTTTTATTCAAAGTCCCTGATTAGTATGCTTATATAAGGTCTTTACTGAAGTTATCTGAGGTGAAGGCACATAAGGTTCTAATTACATCAAGTCATAGTTTTAGAATGACTGTTTTTAACCTGCATATGGAAAATACATAGTGTTCTATAGTATATTCCCTGTCAGACTGTTTGATATTTGAGGATGAGCTTCTTCAAGGAATAAGGTGTCATTAATGCTGTTGTACTACACACCAGGAAAATATACAAAACATGTGACTCTTACTCTTAGACTGGTGTGCAAAAGATTTATTTTTTTACAAAATGGTGAATAAGATATCAAGTCAAACTTGAGGGTACTGGGAGAAATCACCTGCTGTGATTCACAAATATATTTCTTAAGATCTGGCAAAGCAAGATACATTTTATTTGTTTTCTTGTTGTCAGACTAATACAGAAGACCATTTAATGTCATGGCTCATGTCCCTCTGCAGCTGAGTTCATTTCAGAGTGTTTTAATTGAGCCATGTTAAAGACTGCTGGAGTCTGTCCAATAACTGGAAACACTTTGTAATATCTTTTCGGCACCTTTTCATACCCTCTACTGAAATTGTATTCTGTTCTTTATCAGATTTTAAATGTGAGTGTATCAGAGGCAAGCTGAATTTCATCCAGCCTCTGGCTTATTATCAGTGAAATCTTTTAAGACTGGGGACAAACATGTCTAATAAGTCTGGAAACATTTTAGAATATATTTGGCAGTGCATATTAGAGAAAATATTAAGGGGCTGAAATTGTATTCTTGTTTATTTTTCCTTTTGGGAAACTTGGGAAAACATAGGCAGAAAGAACGGTGTGCTGGAAGGTGTTGATTTTTGACCATGTTATCTGCTTTGGTATAAATCAAGCATACTGGACTTAAGGGACTTAAGTATGGAACTTAAGAGGAGTTAGCAGAGTTAATTTAATTGCCTAATTAAGTATTTCCGAACACATAAAAAAATTAAAATGATGCACACATAGCTGTTTGGGTTGCCTCCTGCTAAATCCTTTGTAGTGCTGAGAAGTGAGGGGGAATTCGACAGGGAATGTTGGACTGTAGTGCTTATCTGAATCCTATCTCATTAAGAGCAACCGTAAGTTTTTTTTGGGGTGCAGTAAAGTAACACTAAAAAAAGGAGTTTCAAAGTCCAGAACAAACATAGTAGTGAAAAAGTATTTTGTATGTTAAATCTGAACAAAATCTAAATGGACAGGAAATAATCCAAGCCTTCACCATGAATGATACTCGCACATCAGTTTTAAAAAATTGCCTCTCCTAAAGAAGGCAAGGGGGACACAGCTAATGTTTTTGTGAGACAGCTTGCCAGAGCAGATTGCAGTGTGTCTCAGTCTCAGGATCGAGATTCTATGCACACCTCTTTCACTAGTGTCAGGGACTCATATGAACAGACCCTTGTAAAACAAAAGAAGCTTGCAGTAGAATTTAGCCAGGCTTGCTGATCCAAATGCAGTATAAATGCAGTGTAAAGTTTCAGCCAGGAATCGCTGGAAACAGCTTTGCTAAAGTTATAATATTCTAATCTGAACAATAGTGAGAGGGCACAGGTGCCCTGTGAGGTAGCACCTGTGTACATTACTTGTACATCTAACAATAAATGTTAAGACTATTTTATGGAAAAACTGCAGGTAAAAAATAAAAATTAAACTATAAATGTACTGCAGGCAGTTTTTCTGTATAACTGTCCCATTCATCCATAGTAGAAGCCTATTTAATACATTTCTTCCTGTTGTCTGGTGCATCCAAAGAATTGAAAACACAGATCTAAAAATAAGTTTCAAATATAATTAGGTATAAAGCAAAATATACACTTTTTACTTCCTGTAGTATTGCACTGGGTCTCTTAAATCAGAATAATAGATTAAAATGACTCTACAAAGCTATTGAAAATTACTTCTTGTTCATACTTAGTGATATTAAAAATGAGTGTACAAGTGATGCTTGTGGAAGCAAATTATCCCTTCTTATGTGGTAGTGTATTGTGTTGATGGATCCAGAAATATTCTAATTTAATTTCACTTGAACATCCCTACCGTAAAATTTCCACACTGTCTTCAGCTTCCTATTACCTAATTAGAACTGCAACTTCTCCTACACAGCATAATAACAGTGCTGAAGGAGTACAGTATGTTTACTTACGTGTGGGTTTTAAAAGTTTTTGCACTCAAAAAACTGCGCTGATTGAAGCCATATGTTTGGCAGCAGTATATATTTTAACTAGTATTTCATGGCAAGGCAATCCTTTTTACACTGAAACCTTTACCATTGCCTTTAAGAGTCCAAAAGACTGTATAGATTTATGTTGTTGTAAATAGGTTGTGCACAACTCTGAAGCTGGTAATTATTCTGGTTAAATATTTTTACAAATACGCCTAGACTTTCTTTCCTAGTGATTTCCCAGGAGTGTATATTCTTTCTTCCCACATCACTTCCTGCAGGTGTGGTCCAGTGACAGTGAGGCAGACATTTTATAGACCCTACTAAATCAGAGGAGTCACTGCCTCATTCCTAAAATTATTTCACGGTACTTCTGATAGCCTTCTAGTAAATTGGAGTGTACCACAAAAGGCCACACTCCTGAGTCAACATGAATAGTGAGAAGATAGGAGTTTAATGTGACAATTTCAAGCTATTTCCCCTAAAGTAGCCAAATAATTACTAACCAGATTTTGTTGTGTCCAATTTCTCTTTATAATAGAATGTGCTTCAAAACAGCCCATGAAAAAACATATTTTTTCTATAAAGACTGGAAATATTAAGTATGGTAAATAAGATTCTTGGACCATCTGACCTGATGTGCAGCACATTGTTTTCTAAGGTGTAGAATAAGCTATTATATGTGGCAGCCAGGACTAGTGCTAAACCCACAAAAGCAAAGCAGCATGACCCTCATGGCAGCCATGTTAATGTTTCTGCAAGTATTGTTCATTATACTAATTGTGACAAACAGGCGAGTTTATCCTTCCGTTATGTGTATTTGCATTACGTAAACCCAATATCAGAAGGCTGCTTATTGTTGACCCAGGTTGCAGCAAACTGGAGCCTATCCTGGAATCACAGATCACAGGTGCATACACGCAGGGACAATTTAGAAACACTGATTAACTAGGCCAGCATGTTTTGGGAAGGTGGTAAAAAGAGAAAGACCATGTAAACACTGGGACAGCATGCAAAATCTACTGTTTTCAGACTAGAACTCAACCCAGGACCAAGAGCTGTGAGGCTGGAGTGCTGCATCATTACTCAGCCAGCCACATTACATATAAAGTAACTCAAAACACTATTCATGTTTACATACTGTAGTTTTCACACTTTGTTTCTTAAAAGTTTCCACTCATGACACTTAAGATTTGTAATATACACAAAACATTCCACATATCCGAAGCATAAAACAAAATGAAGTAAATAATTAGATTGAATAAGTATTCAGACCCTTTGCTGTGGCAATGTACATTATTTCAGGTGCACATAATTTGGTAGTGTCTGTGTGGAAAAAAATGTTTCATATTTTTTAGAATATATAGCTGTCTACAGTATCTCTGTGGTCTGAGGTCTCTCAGGTAGTCAATTTCAAGCAATGATTCAACCACCAAGGCCAAGGAGATTTCAGAACAACTCATGGATAAAGTTGCATAAAGCTACACATTAGGAGGATACACTGTTTCAGAGACACTTAATAACTCTTTGACTATGGTGAAATAGATCCTGAAGGAATGGAAGGCACCCAGATGAGGCTGTCCTGCTAGGCTGAACACCGGGGCAAGGAAGAAACTGCTTAGGGATGCAACTGTGTGGCCAATAGCAACTTTGAAAGACTTATAGGGTTCAGTGGCTGAGCTGATTGAGAATGTGTATTATTAGTCAACAATTTGCAGTGATTCCACAATGCTGGCCTGTGTGACAGAGGCAAACTCATCTTAAATCCCACTTGGAATTTGCTACAAAGCATTTAAGTGATGCTACAAACATGAGGCAAATGTTATTGTGACAAACTAGAAGCTCATATAAAACCTGAAAATGGGATAGTTGTGTTAGTGTGCCAGTGGCCTCCTCTCACTGTTGATTTCTTGATTCTTCAATAGGAATTGCCTATCTGGGAGGAACCTGCAGCCCCAAGAGGAAATGTGTGCTGGCTGAAGACAATGGACTTAACTTGGCATTCACTATTGCCCATGAGCTTGGTCACAAGTAAGTGAGACATGAAAAAACTTCCTTTGTACTGAGCAACTGCTGTTTTTTGTGATTACGTTTTTTGGTTAGTTTATAGTTGAATAAAACAGAAAAAATACAGACAAATAAAACACACATGTATGTCTTCAACCACCGTTAGTGGTATCCCTCTTTAGGTAACCCACCAAAGGATCCCCATACTAAAATTACACAACTACAACAAAAGCAACATGCAACAGCAGCACAACTAAGCTCCACTATGAACCCCCTCACCCCAACCACTCATCCACTACCATGGACCTGAGCAGTAGAGAGCTCCATATCAACTGTTGCCATCTTGTTGCCTTGATCTGTTCAGGTACCAGGAGCTAAGCAAGGCTGTACCCGGTCATTATTGGACCGGGAGACCCTCAGGGAAAAACAGATTGCTGCTATAAGTGGTGTTGATGGAATAGGAGTTGGTTCTGTTCCTTGTGGACCTTTGGATAATATGTAAAACTGCTTTGTAGTTGAAATCCTACAGAAACTTTAGCAATAGTGGGGGTATTAACTCCGGTGTTAATGAAATCAAGACAGGCGAGCCTATGGATCTGTGTTTCTGCTATAGTGGGAGGCCTATAATACAATCATCATCTAGCAAGAGCAGCAAGTGAGAAGAGCGAATATCACTATGTAGAATAATGGAGTATAAAGAAGAGACATGTTTCCAAGATTTACCTACAGTACATCTCCCCAAAACATATGTAAAAATCAACAACCTCACAGCTGCTGGATGTGATTGTGGGGATGGATGCAAAACAAACAGTATACACACTTCCACATAAATCTAAAGAGAATGGATGATTAGAAAAGCAGAAGTAAAACATTTGTTTTGCGTTTCACTGAAAACTCATGAATAATTAGGGCTGTACAAACACAGGAATGTGAATGTCTTGTGACATGTATCTATATTCAGAGTCTTTGATGTATGATCAATGTGAAGTTTTGGACTTGTGCCCTTTACTGCTGCTATTGGATGACAGCTGTTAAGGACACTGTGTGTGGCAAAAAGACTTTCCCCCATCTCTTTGCCAGCTATTCTGGTGGTTAGGACACATTTTAACATTTTAGGATCCTATAAATATAATTCAATTAAATCCAAACCCCTTCAATAAATAAAAAGCATTGCGTGAGCCATACTGGAGCTTCTGTAGAACTGTAGGGAAACCCCAAAGGTCAAGCAGGCGTTGCCACACCCTGCACAGCTGTATAAACCTGCGGAAGGGTTTGTGGGGACACAACTGAGGAACAGGAGAGGAAAGCTTGCTTGGCTGAGACAAAGCACAGGAGACATGGGAGGAGTATGGGAGAGGTGTAAGTTCAAAATGTAGCAAGTGATATACAGTATGGTGTAGTGGAGATAATTCAGAAATGTGCATGCTGCCTATGCCTTCATACTCTGTTGTCGCCACAGTTTGTTAGCAGCACATTAATGCACCAGTTATTGTTTTTGTTTATTTCACTTGTTGGGAGATTTATAATTCCAATTCTTATTTTACTTCTGTTATCTAATGTGATTGTTCCATTTTCAAAATTCATTGTGTATTCTAGTTAGATTCTTGCTATTATAATTCTATGAAGAGTCTGAGAAACATTAGATAAAATAGGTAAAACTAATTTGATTATCAGTTGCAATTCCATTTTGTGCAGAATTGTTTACAGCTAAAGTTGGTCTTTTTGTTTGTTAACAGATTGAGGTGACGTGGTGTCTTAAAAAGGAAAACAAACATGGTTATTCATTTTTTCTTACGGAAAGCACTCAGTATAAGTAGAATAAAGCAAACACCAAATTAATTTGGAAAAATTGTGAAAAATATTAACCTTGATAAATGCTTTGAAGCTCTGCCAACTCACAAGAATTATCACAAATTTCTTATGTAGCTGTTCTGCTGAGTAAGCCTGGGTCAGATTTAATGGGCAGGGTGTAATGAGTTGGCACAGAGCAATGCTGTCTTCCTGCTGGGTAGACCTTTAGACAGTAAAGCCACGTTTTACTGGCTTTACTGGTAATGTAATTATGGACCCAGTGCCACAAAAGATTGCATACTATAAAATATTACATAATATAAAAGCCCCCATTGTACTGACTCTGTAAAACCCTTAAACAGGAAATATTAAACTTTAAGTACAGGTTTTTAAACCCATTTAAAAGCAGTAATCTAAAACTGTAGATAAATATACACTTCTCCTGATTAATGTGCCATCATTATTTTTTTTCCCGAATGAAACATGGCATAACTTTTTTAAGAAAAGTGTACATGTGATATGTTCTGTTGCAGGTAATGCAGACACTTTCCTTTGTTCCTTGATCAGATCTAAATGGAGACCCACATTTGAAATCCTACTCTGTTGGGCCCCTGAGCAAGGTCCTTAACCCCTTAACGCTGTATAAATGGCTGACCTGCGCTCTGATCCCAAGCTTCTCTCCCTGTCTGTGTGTCTCTTGGAGAGCAAGTTGGGGTATGTGAAAAGACAAATTCCTAATGCAAGAAAAAATCTAAATTAAAACAATAATATATGGCCAATAAAGTGATCTTATAGGACCTTCACCTTCACCTTAGCTTTTTTGGAGCTTGTCTCCAAGATTTCAGTATCTTTGGACAGTCTTTCTGACCTGTTGTGCCCATTCCTACAGTTTCTTTCTTTTGTTCCCTAAACCATTGCTTCATAGTCCAGGTCCTCCCCCACCTTTTTCCCTCATACCCGAAGAGGCTCCACAGCTGAAATTTTAAGTTTTTTCTCCTTTCTACATTTCAGTATAACCTCTACTGGAACCTTTGCAACTTGCATATTGATGCAGCAATGTTTGATGATGTAGAAGAGGTGTGATCCATGGGTGACAATGACACCTGGACACAAGTTAGGGGCTTGATCAACCCTTGCTGGGTCTCCTGGGCAAATGGGTCTGATGTTGAATGACCTGAAACATCCAGTGACCCCAGGTAACATCACGATGATGTGTACTGGTGAATTAGAGGATGTATTTATCAACATTTAAAAGAAAAACTAATTAAAAACCATGCAGTATTCCTTTTTCAGTAATAGCTAAATAATTACTATAATAAGCCATAATAAGTAAATTAGATTTAATGTAGTTTTGATAGCAGCAGCATCCCTTTTTCATGGCCATTGGATAAAGCAGACACAGACTATATACCATGACTCAATTTGTGCATGTTCTTACATTTTTGTAATAGGATGTTTTCCCAAGGAAAACTTAGCAGAACATAAACTAATCATATGGATTTTAATTGCTGTTCTTGTTTGTCAAAGTACAGATCATGCCAAATAAATAGAAAACTCTTTTGAAAACTCATGCACAATAAATCAATTGAATAGCATTATTTGCAAAGTTGTAAGTTAAGGAAAAAATGATCAACAGAAAAAAAAATCCAATTCATAGCTTTCTGCTGTGTTTAATATTCATTTTGGGGTGGGTGTTATAGTATAGTCTGATGTTGTACACTTCAGCTTAGTGTCACCCATGTTATAGATGCCCCCATGATTTACATTTGATCTTAAACATTAATATGCATTAATTAACAGATTACTGTATGGTGCTTCTTTAAAAATATGATACCAATAAGGTGTTGACATGTTGAAAAACAGGCTCTATGAACATTCTCCAAAGCGTTGAAGAATAAATGAAAAGTCAGTGACCCATTGAAGAACATGACCGAGATATCTAAATGAATAATTATGGTATAATGTATACAAGAGACTCTGTTAAATGAAAGACTCAAGGCATGTTTCACAAAGCATATACTTCATTAGTCAGATGGGAAATTTAAACTGCCCAACATTCAATTCCATAGCTTTTTCATTAGCACAGTAAGATTATCATGTACATGACAACAGAGAGCAGAACAAATAACTACTAGCCTCTGTGCACTGTGCTTTGGTCTCTCTACACATCTATTAATGATATTTTGCCTACACACATCAATTGGACATGAACTGCTAAGTTGGTCAAATCTCTCACTTATGGACTGAACCAAACAACATCAATAACTAACCTAGTTTTTCCAGAAAGTAGACGCTTGAGAATCAGTCTTTAAGTTGCAGGGGCTCACTAATTATGCATTTACTAATTAATCATTTAGTGTTGCAGTTGTAGATCAAAACTGTACTGATTTTTAAAAAAGTGGTTTTCTTGGTGCTGAATCTTGAAATGTATATTCCATGTCCTAGGCCTTGCAATTCAGAGAATAAATGAGAAGAGTGAATAATCTGTCCTGCATTCAGGCCTTCATAATACAAAGCAGCACAGTTGAAAGACAGTGGTCTTTGGCGCAGCTTATGCACACTTGCAGTAACAATTACAGATGCTGCACAGACTGTTTTCTTTCCTGGCAGTCTCATTTTTGGCCTTGAAGAGCATTTTCAGATCATAAATTGCAGCTGACTTGTTGCATCAGACAATCACATTGTCTTGGGATTTGTGTGGTGGGCCTGGTTACTGCCAAGCTCCAGTGTATGTTTTGACCTTGTAGTATTGGCCATTGCTACTCTGTCTAGACCTCTTCTTTTTCACTCTTGCAATTAAACCCATTCGTTTCCTCTCCCTATGAGTCAGGCTATTTGTTGAAGGAATTGTTTCTTGCAATTCACCTTAAACACATTCTTTAGTTAAATGTATATTTCAATCTTTACCCTGCTTTACTATCTCATGTAAACATGTTAATTGTCTTGGTTATTTTGGTCTTTTGTTTTATCTTCTAACAGTGTGTTTGCCATAAACACCAAACATCATCTGTTCAAAAAGGGAAATCTGTTTTGGTCAAGTTATTGTTTTATTGTTTGTTTCAAAAGCATTTGGTGCTATCTTGCGTAATTTTAATTTTAATTTTCATTCCTTTTGTTATACGTTCAATTAAAGATTATTTTGAATAGTACTGAACAGATTCTTTAAATCAGTGTACTTAATAAAATTAGTTTGGCTTTGAAATCATTTAGCTCTAAAAGTTCAATAAAGGCCATTGCAATGCTTTCATCTACTGTAAATGAGTTGGAGACTTATGGAAATAGGAAAAATCTCATCCACAAAATAATTTAAGAATTAAAATCTTTTATGTGGTATCTTGCAGCAATTGCATATGTTTTAGCCAGATTTGAATGGAGGGAAACTTCAGTGTGGCTTTGCTGTGGTTTTTAGACTCTGTCTGCTTGGGCTTGTGTTGAAATGTCAAGCAGCTCTGAAAAAAGGAGATCATATCTGTTTCTGTGCTTGATTTCTGGACAGCATGGGCATGAGCCACGATGATGACCACCCCACCTGTGCAGGGCACTCCCACATCATGTCAGGGGAATGGATCAAGGGCAGGAACCCCAGTGATCTCTCCTGGTCGTCCTGCAGTCGAGACGACCTGGAAAAATTCCTTAGGTGAGTTCAGAAATACAGAGCAAACAATTAATTGTCATTTCCTTTCTCTGCAAATCTGCCAAACCAAAGAGATAGTATCTTGGTCAGAAGGGCCTTGTGTTTAAAATGTAAGTGGAATTTCCTATTCACTATTGACGTAAACTAGACAAAGTATTTTTTTCTGAGCATTCTAAAAGTTAGTTGTAATTTAAAGACCTCATCACATTTATCAATAATATTGGCTACTCTGTAATACTTTTACAGGATGGGTTTCAAGGGAATTTGGAATGGGGGGGATTTGGGAACACTGCACTGGAATTATAGAAAATACAACCACATGAGCATTATGGCCCAAGTGTGCCTTTGTGATGTACTGATTAACTATAAGTAGATATTAAGTTACAACACAACAGCATAGTACAAAAATGCACTGGAATTTTTGCTTGATCGAAGCACTTTAAAACTGCACATTGTGAAAAACAGAGTAAGCACACACAATGCTGTAGGAATGGAGAATATATCTCTTTAAGTAGTTAAAATTAATGGTAAGAGTTTACCAAAGGGGCTGTATATCTGTAATATTTGAGAACTTGGAAAAAGTGTTTTTCAGACTTAGTTGGGGTTATAAATATCTCTGAAAACTGTGAGGCCAGTGATTAATGAATTGCAATTGGAAAGGGACATTTTTCAAAGAGCATCTTTCTGTGGGATGAAAGAAAAGACAGAGAAACCATACTACTCAGTATTATCTTAGGCCTACTATCAAATGAATACATGGGAAGTAAAGAACTAAAAGAAACAAAGACTCTTTTTGAAGCATTGTTTCCTTATGGTCATTTGGAGCTTTGCCTAAAAACTGTTTATAGTGGTACAAACCAAATGTGAACAGACAGCATTTACAGGATGATATTTTTATTCTTCTGAGAATTTTACTGTAATGGACATTTACATATTGCCCAAATGAGAATTTGAGTACAATTTAGTACAACAAATTAGAGATGTAAACATTAGTGTTTCACATTTTGGTTAAAAGAAATGTTTAACTCCATAAGCTCGGAGGCATTTGCTACAAAACATTCTGAATCATGTCAGAAAGTTATGTCTAAAAATATTACAGCATAGAATCTCATTGATTAAAATGAAGTGACAATGGAGGCCAGAACAGTCCACTGTAAAACCTAGGGGATCTTTGTGAAAAACGTAAGAATTCTCTTAAGAATCAAAGGTTTTATACAGAAAGTCATTAGCATATCATCAAGTTAAAATTGCTCATAACACTTCAAATACTTTTTAATTTACTGTATGACATCATCTTAAAATACATTTGGCTTCTACCAATTTGGATATACCAACTTTTGAAGATAAAATTTCCTTTTCATTCAACTCACTCTTATCTTCATGTGGAAAAAAAAAAGTAATACCTAAATAATCTGATGAGGAAAAACATATGATGTAGATGACCTTGCAATAGTATTCATACCCTTAACATATGAACATTTTGTTAAATTACAATTGACATACAGTATATTATACATATTTCAATGTGAAAGCAATGTCTTATCAGAACTTGAATGTTAACACTGAACACATTCAAGAGTGAAAGAAGTTAAATTTCTAAAAAAACACAAAATATAAATATAAAATATGCTGGATTCATAAGTATTCATCCCTTTTGCTACTGTATAGAAAAAGGAAATTAGTTCAGATGCCCAAAATAATTTGACACATCACACAATTAGTTTAATGCAGTCCATTTGTGTACAATAATTGTAGTTCACATGATAATAATAAATGTATCTATGTCTGTAAGGTCCCTAAATCAGGTAGTAATGTTCAAGATTCAACCATTAAGACAAACGAACTTTACAAATAACTCAGGGATAAAGTTGTATGAAGCCACTGAATATCCCTTTGACCACACTGGAGTCAGTCATCAGAATGTGGAAGATATCATACACTGCTTAGATAAGGCTTTCCCTCCAAACTGAACAGGTATGTGAAGAGGAAATGTGATATACTGTATGTGTCTTTGAAAGAGCTGCAGAATTCAATGGCAGTAGCCACCCCAAGCTGGATGCTGCAAAACTTACAACCATTATATTTTGGACCAGTTTCTCATAAGCAAAGACTGGGAAGCTTGTCGAGACTGAGGGAAAAATATGTGGACCAAAGTACAGGGAAATCTTAGATGGAAACCTATTTTAGTCTTCTAAAGACCTAATCACTTTTCAGCAGGACAATGACTCAAAGCACAAGACCAAAGTTACACTGGAGTATCTCAAAAATCCAATGTTAATATTTTACCATAGTCCAGTCAAAGTTCAGACTTAAATTCTATAGAAAATCTGTGGTAAGACTTGAAAATTGATATCCAAGCGATCCCCAGCCAACCTGACAGAACTTAAAATTCTGTAAAAATAAAAACAGAAAATGATGATAAAAATTGCACCATCTCAGTGTGCAAAGAATGTAGTCTTTTCCAAAAGGAATTGCTTCCGTTGCTTTCAAAGGTGCTTCCATCAAATATTGTTTCAGTGGAGTGAATAATCACACAATCAGATCAATATAATTTAGTTTTTGATAAATTTTGCAGGTTCTGCTGATATTTAACTTTCAACAATTAAAGTATTTGTTTCCCTATCAAATTCTAATGAAACAATTTGCTTTAAAAATGTTATACATCATTAGTTATTCAGCATAGTGGAACATCATCAGTAGGTGGTGAATACATGTGCAAGGCACTGTATCTTGCCTTGGTTTGATGTGTTCAGTTAGTAAAATAGCCCCCTCCTTTAAGTAAATACTGCAAAACCTGATTTTTTATTTAGTCTAAGATTCGAAGACGTGACAAAAACTTCTCATTGAACAAACAGTGCATGTTGCTGTAACTTCAGAGGGTCAGAAGATGTTCTAATGCCTCTTATTTTCCTGTGGGAACGCAAATGTATTGTGATTTGTTTTTCCATGTTTTGTAATGCTTGGGTATATTTGGTTCTCAGCATTCCTTCTAATGTTGTGCAATCCCTGTGGCTCCCAGGTCAAAGGCCAGTGCCTGCCTGCTGGAGACAGATCTTCGAAGCCGTTCTGTGGTGAGGCTTCCTCCCAAACTGCCAGGCATGCACTACAGTGCGGACGAGCAGTGCCAGATTTTATTTGGCACCAATGCGACATTCTGCAATAATATGGAGGTTTGTTTTCATGTTTCTTTGATCCTCTTTATGGATCTTCTTTGTTTCTGTGCATCATACCCTGGATTCAGACAGCTTCATCAGGCATGTGGCAAGCTTTTCTGATTGTCCCCCTGCATTCGAAATGGTACTGTATATTGTTCTAATGCACTTGATTTAACTGCAGGAACATTTCCAAGGTTTTGGATGAGTATCCCTTTGTGACTTGTCTGATTCTCTTTGAATCCAGCCTTTTTTTTGTATAGAACATAGTGTCAGGCAAAGCATGTGTTTGCTTCTTTTTTCACCACAGAATCTTCAAGTGCTAATTTATGTTATTTTTAGCCATGAAGAATATAGCCTTTGCAGTTTGTATCCCTGAAAGGGGGACACAGCGTTTAAAATTATATATTTACAGGAACGTACTTGCAGATTGTGTCTTGTAGTTTGAAAAAATCTGAAATATTTTTTTTCAGTTTCATTGCTTCAAATTAAATTCTTCAAACCAATTGGTTTGATATAGCTATCCACCAATACATTCAGGCAGAATCTGTAGCAGCACTCTCCCTGAAGTATGGTGAACAGATAGACAGGATTCATAAAACTAAATATTTAGTGGAACACGATATAATTTCACATCCATTGAAAGCTTTATGTTTTCATATTATGTTTCTTTCCATTCAACTGTGTGCATGAGGTGAAACTTAGAAGTACTATTTTGAAACAGAAATTTGTGTTTTTGTGGAACAAGCAATATGCCAATTACTTTATGTTCTCTAGCTGGTGTTCATGATCAACATTTGAGTAAACTATAGTTAAAGACTTCTGCCGACTGCACAAGAAAGTAAATATTTAGTGGTTGGGTCTAAACCCATGCTTTGCAGGAATGGTGTTGACACATAGCCAGCAGCCATATCACCCTGTAACTCACAACTGGCAACCACTGAAGCTAAGCAGGTGTGAGCCTGGTCAGTACCTGGATGGGAGACCTCCTGGGAAAAACTAAGGTTGCTGCTGGAAGAGGTGTTAGTGGGGCCAGCAGGGGACACTCACCCTGCGGTCCATGTGGGTCCTAATGCCCCAGTATAGTGACGGGGACATACTTATCCATCCAAACAGGATGAGATGTAAAACCGAAGTCCTGACTCTCTGTGGTAATTAAAAATCCCAGGCCGTTTCTCGAAAAGAGTAGGGGTGCAACCCCAGCGTCCTGGCCAAATTTCCCATTGGCCCTTACCAACCCCCTAATAATCCCCATCTATGAATTGGCTTCATAACTCTGCTCTCCTCCCCACTAATAGCTGATGTGTGGTGAGCATTCTGGCGCACTATGGCTGCCAGATGGATGCTGTAGGTGGATGCTGGAGGCTGTAAAGTGCTTTGAGTGGAGTGTCCAGAAAAGCACTATATAAGTGTATGCAATTATTATTATTTTTAAACCATTTTAACTTTAATTGTATTTGATGTTTTGGTGTTTATGCAGAAGCACAGTCATTACTAATCTGAGATTTTCAGTCTTTCTTGCCCCCAGCCCACTATCTCTCATACACCTGTTTTCTGGAATCTGAAGAGCAAGGAATTTGTCCTTTTGACAATAGTGGGTTTTCAGCAATCCCAAAGCACTTCATGAGAAAATGTACAGCATTTTTGTTTAAAGGCACAAATATAGTGTGTTATACAAAGTGATTTACTGTAATACTTCTAATAAATTACACTTTACTGGGGAAACCTGAAAAATAGTTTGTATAATATGGTACATCATTGACAAATGTTCATTTTATTAGCATGTCAGCTAAATTTACTGACATTTTAATTTCGCAATTTTTTTTTTTAGTTTTTGAAGTCTTCTGAAACAACTATTGAATCTACTTTGCATTGATATTATATTGTATTTTTTCTAAATCCAAGACTATCAGTAACTAAGAAACAAAAGGTTAACAAAGTCACTTTATGTTAATTTAAAATACACTGAAATCAGCAATTAAGGCAAGATATTAGCTGCATGTTAAACAGCACAGTAGTCCCTAATGGTGCACAATTGCTGTTAATTTATATAGACTGCTTAGGTACTGTAATTGGTCGGAGCCTATGTATTGTCTCAAACCAGATGACAGTTTAAACCCAAAGGAAGCATTTCATACAAAGCCAAGCTATAATTTAAAAACGTAGCTGAAGTGGGAATGATGTGAAGATGGTGTGCTTGTGGGTTAATTACCTTGTGGCGATTACTTTGCTATCTAGAGAATTTCATATACAAATGGAAATTATTAATGGACAAATGTCAGAATCACACGGTATAATATGGTAATAAAATTCAGTTTACATCAATCTTCCTAAATCAAGGCATTAGTGTTTTTTTTACTGAATTTAAACTGAATGATAGCATTTATAAAGAGGTTTTATTTTAAAAGAAACTTTGTTCTTCTACAAATTCAGATGTTTCTCTAGAGTAGTGATGTATTACTGCATATGTCTCTTATTTTTCCACTACTGAGTTACATATTATGTAAAAAAGTGTGTAGCATGATTTGTGTGAGGTCAATGTCAAAGGAATCCTCTATAGTTTACAAGTTTCTGACTGTGAGAAATGACAGGAGTGAGCTGTGCCTGTCAAGGTATGTGTTGTGGGGTTGCCTGCGGAGCTAATACTGAATTTGTCTCTGACAGTCTGTAATTTACGTTTGCATTCAGGAAGTGACACAGTGGCATGCTGCTAGCATTGGTAGAAATGTTCCAGGTTTCTCACTGGGCAAACAATGTTTGGATTGATCTGTTGAAAATAGTTCTTTGCTGGTAATCTCTTTGATGTAGTTCAGTCAATTATTTACAGTTTATATCATTACCACTTAATTAGTTTATTAAAGAAAACAATAAATCTGTTTCAGTTACTTAAATAATTGTCTTTCAAATAATGTTTTTTTTTAATTTTCAGAAGCTGCTTGTCAATTTTTCCATACAAAATAGCTTCTACTGAGTCTAGCCTTTGCTCTTCTTTCTATCTTTAAAAAGCTGTCAAAATTTTTTTTGACCTAAAATGACCTTTTTCTGAAAAACAACAATTACAGTACAGTGTAAAAATAGAATGGTTACATAAACCTGTTTTGCTCACTTATGGATGTTGTTCAACAATGTACACTGTGTTTTGAATGAGAATAAAACAGTTGGTATCATTGTCAGGTTTATTTTATTTCAGACGTGTGGTTGGAAAAATATTAAGTAAAGCTTAAAGGGCTGCCCTGTTGACAGTTTTATGATGTTGGATAAATATATGATCTGGGAGGCAGGTCTCATTGAATGCTACATTCTCGGCCATCTGTAAAAGTAGTTCTTCAAGCTGTAAAACTACAATATCTCCTGTTAGGGCAGTAAAACATATCATTATCTGGAGATTGTATCCCTCCCCTATAAGCAAACATTTGCCAATGCCTTAAAGTTCAGTTGGTACATCACTAATCACAGAACAAAACCTGTGCATTACATACTGATGTCTCAGGGTTGGAGTTAGTGGAAATATTTTGTTTTAAAGCAAATGAGCCCTTTCATTTATGTATATTCACACACCATACATTGTGTATCAAGTGCTTGTTTTGGTAGGAAGCATTTTTGATCATCTCTCCTCAGAGCTATGAAAAACAGGGAAGCCATAAAAACTTCCCATTTTCTGGTTTCTTTGTGGTTTGTGGTCTTTAAGCATGAAAATCTCTTACTTAGGTTATCTTTACATATTGAAATCCTGATCCTACAGAAGGTGTCTTGTAAAACATGCTGTAATAATTTGGAGAAAGAGAAATGTATTGGAAATTTACTAGTACAATGTTATCCACCGTTTTGTTTTTTACCGAGTAAGTTGCATCTTTTTGTGGATTAATAGATATTACTCTTCTTTTTGAGACATGTATGTAGGATTTTGCAGTCATTACACCAATGGAGTTTTTTTGTTTAGTATAAAAGAATGAGTGATCTTCCATGATACTCTACTTCAGCACCTAATGTGCGCTGGCCTGTGGTGTCTTGTGGAAGGAGATACGTCCTGCAAAACCAAGCTAGACCCACCTCTAGATGGAACTGAATGTGGACCTGACAAGGTAAGAAAAATGTCTGTGTACTATATTTCCTAAACTATATTCTATATATTGTAAATCATTGTGATTTTCGTAACACTACTGCATAAAAATAGGTTTTACATTCACGCAACCTTTGATGTTCTGCTTTCATGTCCAATTAGTTTGCTTGAAGAGTAATTTTTCAGGTGTGGAATGAGTCACTAGCTCTGATGATTGTGAGCCTTACTGTGTGTTCTATTGGTGGGCACCGTAAAATGCCAAGAATCTGCAGCTTTCCCGTGCAGATTTGTCTTTGATGTGCCTCAGTTATTCGTTCCTGAGACACCCACTGTTGCCCTGGGACTGTTTCAGTGGTGCAGGGCTGGAGACTGCGTCAGCAAGACCCCCATCCCTCAGCACATAGATGGAGACTGGAGCGCCTGGAGCCAGTGGAGCATGTGCAGCCGGACATGTGGGACAGGCGCCAGGTTCAGGCAGAGGAAGTGCGATAATCCACCGTACGTTTCTGAAAAAAGTGAAGTCGTGTGAGAACTCAGGTCTTTAAGTGCATGCCAGTACAGCCAGTTTGTACTGTATATGAGTATCCTTCACACTAAGGCATTTAATTAGTTGTAGACAGTGCTGGGGAACTCTCTTTTAAAAATAGTCTTTTATAGGTACAAGATTATAGTTCTGAGTCAGTTAATCGTAATTTTTACATCAGTAAAGAGTTGAGAGACATTGCTTTTAAGAGGTAATGCTAGCAATTACATTATAGATGATTGTAATGTAGACATTATAGATGACTGTTTAATAATTTCCCCCTACTCTTTGTTAATGTTAAATTAAATTAACCAGTAATCTGTTACAGAAGTAATTTATGTGCCATGGATTAATGGATTACTTTTTAAAATAACCTTTCCCCAGGACTGGTGGTTACTGAAGAATAACTGAATTAACGTTCTCCTTCCCCTTAATTACTGACTCTATAAAGGTTAGTTTCAGAACTTTATCTGATTGCATATAATCAACATTAAAACAAAGTGAACAAATAATTTTATATCATTATGTATGGTGACAATACATGGAAACATTCACTCTACCTCAAGTATGATTTTGGCTCTAATCTATCTTTAATTTAATTAAACCCTGCAAAAGGTAATGTACAGTAGGGTCTGTTTCAGTGTGTATTACTGCACCTGGAAATCCATGAAAAGAACATGCTGTTTTTATTTACATCTTGGCTGTTGAAGCTGCTTTATATAATTTTCAAGAGAACAACACAAGGAAAGATCACAATGAATAGGAAAGTAACTACCTTGCCAGAGAAAGAAGGCACTCCTGGCTCATGGGGCTGTGTAAGAAGTAACTGAAATCAGTTGTTTTTAATGGCAATGCCAGAGGAGCACTATTTTTAAAGTAGTCGAATAGTATGAGATAATTATTTTTAAATCCTCTATCAAGTGTCTGACTTTTGTAACTGTAACTGTTAGATTAATTGGGCAGGTTATGCTTGAAATGATTAACAGACAGTTACAGAGAGAGCCAAGAAAACTGCCAAAGCTTGGTATCTGCCTATCTGTCTTACTTGCCTTTGAGCCAGCAGGGGAAAAGGATGTATCCAGCTCAATCATATTATGAGGTGCATCTGGTACTTGAGGCTTGTCCTAGCAGATGGACTTTCCCTGGGGGTGAGCAGCACAGTGAGCAAGGAGAGGGAAATGGATGTGTTTTTAATCAGTGGGTTCCTGCTCTTCACAGCCCTGGGCCTGGAGGGAAGAACTGCCCGAAGGCCAGTGTGGAGCACAAAGCCTGTGAGGCCCCCCCCTGCACAAAGGGCACTCCCAGCTTCAGGGACCAGCAGTGCCAATCACATGACAGGCAGGCCAGCAAAAAGAAGGCTAGGATGTGGACTGCTGTCATTAATGATGGTGAGGCACTTTAATTTATTAGAGACTAATTCTGCTCCCAGAAGGAGATTCAACAGGCTTCCATTTTAAAAACTTCATACACTCTACATACACGCATGCTTTTATTGGTATGATTGTTGTTTCTGTGCTCCTTCAATCTATGTCCTAATTTTTGTGAGGTATGGCTTCACCTTTTCCAGTGCTAGCTTGCAAGTGGAGAGGGCCCATTTAAACCTGCGGTAAATTTGAAAGGACTAAAGGTAGCCCACAAGATTTTAATTCAGTGTTGGAATATTGTAGTGGGACTGCCAAAGGCGCTAAAGCATACTGTAGTGTGAGGAATTTGAAAATGCAGAATAGACCACTTTGCAGATACCCAAAGTTTAATGCCTTTAACTTTTTACAGAGAGGGCTAAACCAACTAAACCAACCTGGAGAACTCAAATACAGTTAAACAATCGGGTGTTTTGTAGCACTTCTGGCACAAATGCATCTTTGCTCATCTTTAAGTGTCCCCAATGCCCTGGGCCTACCAGGGAAGTGTCCAGTTCCATCACCGGTTTCCCGTCTCCCACCTCTAAAACAGAAAGCAATTTCCTGTTCCAGGGCCAGCCACTGTAGCACCAGGGTGTCTCCCTGCAAAATGTCCGGTTGAGAAATGGCAACTTGCTTTTTTGTCTTCCCTATTTTTGTATTGCAGACTGATTAAAAGTAAAACATTTTTTCAATGTTTTTGAAGAATTTTTCCCCTTGTGTCAAGGAAAATGATTAAAATTCACTTCTCGTTTGTACCGTGTGCAAATAACATTCTATTGACGTTTCATGTGCAGGTCATTTGCACAGATCTCTTTCAGGCACATTCAAAAAGTGTTAGCATTCATCATATTGTCATACTAATGGCACAGAAAATTATACTAAAAAACATTTAAATTAGCAACATACCCACTTTTCAGACTTGCAGAATGCTCACAGATGTTGCTTATCATCATGCTCCAACCCTTATACCTGGCAGAAAACCAAAGAAAGGAGAACATTAATTGAAAGATATATATTTTAAGAAATGTTGTGCTAAAATTAAAGAATAATATGAAAATCGCTGGCACAGCAAGAGCGTAAAATGCCATGAAATTACAGATAACTTATAGAATGTTCATAGATGACATGTTTCATTTCATTGAGTATGCAAGGAAATGTTCAACAAACAAATCAAAATAAATCGTGTGATGTGCGCACATCTGTGTGAGTGTGTACCCTGTAATGGACTGGTGTCCCATCCAGGGTGTATCCTGCTTTGTGCCCATTGCTTACCAGGATAGGCTCCAGCTACCTTTCAACCCTTTGTTGGATGAAGCAGTTAGAAAATGAATGGCTGTTACAAGCCATAACCATAGCTCAAACTTTATATAACTAAACTCTGGCAGATTGCACCGAATATTTGTTTTTTTTGGTCATATTTTTCTGCTATCTTGGGCAGCTACATTCAGTATATAATATTCCAGGTTTCTGCACAATAAAAACCCTCTTTTCTTTCACAGCAAAATACCCATACACTGAACTACTACAGCAGGTGGTGGTAACTTTTAAACCACACTCTTGAACTCTGCTGTACAAAACAGCTTGCTAAACCTTAAAGGTAATATGATTTTATAAGATGAGATCTGCATAATCTACATACAGTTCCATTTTTGTATACCATTTTTGTGATAACTCCTGTATAAGAACTACTGTTGTATTACATGGCAGGTTATTTACAATTGTTAGAACCTAACTAGAGGATCACCTATATGGAAACTGCCAATATGGATTTAGAAAACAGAGAATTTTGGTCTTGTATAACCAACTTATTAGAGGCAAAAAAAAGTTAGTATGTACTGTAACATAATTAAAACAATGGATGTTATCTTAAAATTGTATAACACCCAAGTAAGAATATTATATACAATTTTGGTCACCACATTGTAGAAAAGGTAATGCTGCTCTGGAATAAGTCCAGAGAAGAGCAACCAGATACATTTTGGAGCTTAAGGAAATGACCTACACAGACAGACTGAAGGAACCAAGCCTTTTAATGAAACACGAACCAGAGGGAACAGTGAAAACTAGGCTGAAGTGCATTTAAAACCAAGAATGAGCAGGAAACACATCTTTAACAGTAAGGGTAGTGGGAGGCTGGAACAAACCACCTGGCCGTGGTATTATTTGTTTGGATTTAAGCTTGTTTTGGTTTTTTGGGCCAAGGTTAAACTATTCTTATTTGGAGCTCTTGAAAATATTTTTTGGGGGCAAAACCTAATTAGGCACATTGGTTTTGTCTTTCTGTAAACAGTAATGCTGATATGGTGTTAGTTTAGACAGATACAGTATTTCATTAGATGTACAAAATAGTGAAAATACTGTAATTGTATTTTGTCTGGGTGTGTCTGGAGTTAAATGCCTTCACTATGAATATGCAGTCTTTAATCAGTGTCCCATTCAATCCATTGTCACAGTGTAAAATTATTACAGCTGCTGGCCAAATGTATGCTATTTTAACTTTCATAACAGGATACGGAGCTGTGTCTGTGAAGGCAGTGGAAATTACAATACGCCCTCTCTTTCTTTACCTACTGAGAGCAGCAGTAATTGCTTGGCTGACTTTAATTCAAAAGGTGGAATCTAAGCCAATGTTATCTCCCGTTACTTCTGCCTAAACAGTTTAAGTGATTAAATTTGCTTTGTAGAGTTTTTGACCTTTTTGCTACAAAATAGATTTTAGGGATAAAACTGCATTATGAAAGTAGATGTAATATTTTAAATACATTTCATTTAGTCCTGCCATATTGTAATACTGTAAGACACTGTTCAGATTGAATTTATCGCTAAATATTTTTTATTTTAACCATCCAAAATACTTTACCTCAGCTAACATTAAACAACTGATTGGAACCATATTTGTACAGATTACTCATCTGATTCAATTCAGCAAGTTCCAAATCTTGATTTTTAATCACTGATGTTCTCTTTGTGCCATACTAGTGTCTACTCTTGCTGACTAGGTCAAGTTAAGAGCATTTATGAACAATACAGTACATCACTAGCATTAGTCTTAATGAGCTACAGTAGCCTTAATCGTTTTGCTTGTTTTTATTAATGCTTTCTTAATCTCAATAAGGCCGACATCTGTGAAAAATGTTTTTTTTTCAGTATTCTACTGCTGAATGAAGCTGTGAAAATCAGAACTAATAACAGCTGATATGTGGTGCTTGGGGCCTGCAGAACAGATTTACCCTTCTCTTTCTTTTACTTGTGTATTCAATTTTAGGCTCAGGTAATGTTTTACTGTTTACAACAGCTGTACTAATCAGTCACTGATTCATTACTTTCAGTTATGTGAATGTAAATGACAGTTGATATCAATTACTCAGAAGTGTATTCAAATAAATCAATGAGGTAAATTTAATATTATCATTCCTTAAATTGCCCAGTGTGCATTATATGTTTGTTCTAAAATATGTTTGATATTTTCTTCTCCACAGAAAAGCCCTGTGTCTTGTTCTGCAGTCCAGTGGGACGAGACTCACCTGTGATGGTAGCAGAAAGAGTCCTAGATGGCACTCCATGTGGACCTTATGAGACAGATTTGTGTGTCAATGGAAAATGTCAGGTAAGGAATGATAGTATATAATACATGATGTTTATAATACAGATCAACCCTTGGATAATGAAAGATTTGTTAAATATTTATCATCACCAGACTACATCCTGTTATCGCTAACTGTTGCTGAAAAGCTGATCAACACATTTGTCTTTTACCATATTGACTACTGTAATGCTCTGCTCACTGGGGTTTCTAAACCCACACTGAACAAGCACTGGTACAGTACTGTATGTCCAAAATTCAGCAGCCAGAATCCTGACCAGGTCTAGTGCAAGTGATCACTTTACTCCTATCCTGGAGTCCTGGCACTGTTTTCCTGTCAGGTTTCATGTTGGCTTCAAAATCCTCATGCTCACCTATAATGCTCTGCGTGGCTTGACACCTTAGTACCTGTCTGAGCTGCTATCGTCCTACTCACCACCTCGCAACCTCCACTCTTCTACTTCTGGTCTCCTATCTGTCCTCTAAGCCCGTCTACATGCTATGGGTAACAAGGCCTTCTCCTGTTATGCCCCGCCCCCGAGCTCTGGAACTCAGAGAGTCACCTTCCCTAAACTAACAAATCTAGACTCAAAACCTTCGTCTTTAGAAGGGTCTTTACTTAACTTCTGTTATATATCCCATTTGCTCCTGCTGTATTCAGTACCCCCATCTACTGTCTCCTCTCACTGTGTGTTTTCACTGTGTATGTCTTGTGTATATATATTTTTTGTTGTTGTCGTTCTGTAAAGTGCTTTGCAAAGAACCCTTTAAAGGCACTAAATAAAATAAAGATTATTATGAACTTTTGAAAAGAACATTGTTTCTTTACTTCTCCCAATATTTGTGACCATGTAAGTTTCCATAGCACGTCTAAGCAGGTACTTGTTGTATCCCAGTACACATTTCTTTGAACTGAAGAGAACATCTCCTGAAAGCACAGTTCCTCAGATGCCCATGGCCTCATCTAACACTTTCTCCTTTTGTGTGACCAAATATTTATTTTAAATTTTATAAAAATATAAAAGCAAGAACAGCCTCACTCCAGCAACACTAGAGTTTCTAGTCAAGAACCCACTAAACACAACAGTTACAACAGGAACCCCTTGCAATAACGTTTTTACTGCACTAGCAGCAGCACTCCAAGCCTTTGGCTCAGATTCTAGTAGTAGAGAGCAGAACCATATAAACAATGTTAAGCCAAGTCAGGATTCAGTGATGCAAGATAATGTGGAGGCTCCCAATGTAGTGCCAGTATCTTTATACTGTGCCTCTAAAAAGAGTCCCTCGCCCAGTGGATGTTTCATAATTTATGTTGCAAACTCAAATAGAAATACATTTATATGAGATCACTGAAATACACAAATTATTCTATAATGTCAAAGTGGAATTAAAGTGGAAAAGGTACCTGTAATTAAAAGAAACATAAATGTCTTGATTTGAAAAGTATTCACCTCCTTTCCTACAGCACTCCAGTTTCCTTATAACATCACTTTAATGCCTGAATACAGTCCACCTGTGCTCTCCATATACTGTACATGACTGTGGTCCATTTAATTGAATAACATGATTTCAGGAATAATACACCCTTATACTGTATATCAGGTGCCTCATTTGACAGTGCTTGTCAGAACAGAACCCCTTCCATGAAGAGCAACTCTTTGATAGAATTGTGAGGAGGCATAAATTTGGGAAGGGGCAGAAATCATATTAAGGATGTTGAAAGTTCCCAGGAGCACGCTTAGGTCCATAATGCGGAAGTGGAAAGAATACAGAAATACCCAGACTGTTACAAATCTGTTAAAATTGATATGGAGATGTGATAGTGACAAGGATAGTACCTAGGGTCTGTGATGGACTCTAGACACGCAATTTCCATGTATCCTATGTTTCTTCTTAATAAAGAAGTTTCAGATTTGGAAACCATTTTGAAATCATTTTGTACTGTAATTTAACTGTATCATCATGTTCAGACCTCTACAGTAAGGCCATGATTCAAATATTGTTTCATCCCCAGTGATCTTCAAACTCAATTTCCTTGCTCTTCAGATTTTCCAACTTTGTGTCCTGCTCATTACCCACGATTCTCCCAAAATAATGTTCAGTTTAGAAGAGGAATATGTACCATCTTAGCTTTTAAGTACTCAGTTAAAATCCAGTCAGAGAGGTCACTACTGCTGTCTTTATTTTCACCATCTACTTTTGCCTGTCCATTGAGAGTTATTCCCAAAGCAACACTGACATCTGATCCAAATCATGAGAATCCAATTCTTCCAGATTTTATTTTGCTTGTAGAAGAAGTCGGAGACAGGATTGGTATTTCCTGGGTTCCCCATCACCCCATGCAAACCAGGTTCAAAGTAAAATAAAATTAATTGAAGGAGAAACAGAAACAGGTGAAAAATTAAAAAAAGAAAATGTCAGAGTAAAGCTTCTATCAAAATAATGAAGACACATGTAAGCCTCAGCTCTCACATCAGTGTATCAATGATATAATCTCTGTCTAGCACTTTCTCTGTTGTAATCGCTGTCTGAGCTGGAACGGGGACATGAGCAATGCACTGAAAAAGATTAGATGGTAAAATGGATACTGCATATGTAGAGACAGTGTGAGGATGTTCTCTTTTTGGGGTATATCCAGCTACATTCATTATATACAGTACTGAGAAGATTTTTAGTTCAGATTATATCCAATCCATCAACATCACACAAATCGCGAATAACCAAGGAACCCAGTCAGGCAGAGCCCATAAAAGCTTAAACAAAATTACAAGACAAAAATAAGACTGGCCTTTGCGTAAAGCTTTAAAGTGTTTTGGTTTAAGTAGCTGTGTGAACTGTACACACGTCAACTGTTTAGCTTAAACTATGAACCAAAAACCTGTAAAATACTAAAATAGTCTTCTTATGGTGTATTAACATATTTACCTTTTACGAGCAGTGATCTGTACGTGTACAATATGTAATTTAATATTTTGTATGTATTGTGTAAACAATGGGTTGCAACTTTTCCGAATTATTGGAGGTGCTTGTGTTAAAATGTATTCACATTAACAAGTATCTCTCTGCCCCCCGTTTCCTTCATTAATTATAAGAAATGGTAAAACAGTTCTTACTATTAATGAAGCTTCATACTGCTGTTAAGGATAATGTGTTCTTTTACGTTGTACTCCTGCTAATGAAGTTATTTACAGTGTCTTCAACATCCAGTGAAACTTAATCTGCATGAATAAAAAGCACCAAAATGAGTTTCACATTCTTGATAGAACTTTTCATTACACTGTTCGTGAGCCTTCATTATTTTGATAAAAGGTTCACTGTGACAGATGGTTCATGCTGTCTTAACCAGAAGTAAAATTTAGTGCAGATACAGGGATTTGTAATCTTTTTGCAGGGTTATTTTTCCAAATTCCAAATTTATTAATATACAGAGGAGACTGAGGATGGTGGTTCTAAGAAAAGCAGAGAGGTGAAGAGTGGAACAGTTAAGTAAAGGCTTTTCTAAAGAAGAAGGTTTTGAGTCTGGATTTGAATGAGTTTAGAGAAGGTGACTCTCTGATATCTTTGGGCAGAGAGTTCCAGAGCTTGGGGGCATAACAGGAGAAGCCCCTGTCACCCAAACAATGTAGACAAGCTTGGGGGACAGTAAGGAGACCAGAATTTGAAGAACTAAGGTTGTGAGGTGGGGAGCAGGGCGGTAATAGTTCAGACAGGTATTGAGGTGCCAAACCATGCAGAGCATGAGGTGAGCATATTCCAACATAGAATTTGACAGGAAGCCAGTGCAAGGACTCCAGGATAGGAGTGATCACTTGCATACTGCAGTTTGTTCAAAGTAGATTTAGATACCCCAAAGAGTAGAGCATTACAGTAATCAATTAAAGAGAACACAAATGTGTTGATCAGCTTTTCAGCCACAGTTTGTGATAGCATAGGTTGTAGTCAAGCGATATTTCTAAGGTGAAAAAAAGATGTTTTGACAATATGCTGCACATGTGGGTTTAATGTTAATCCAGAATCGAATATCACTCCAAGGTTTTTCAATTTAGACATTTGCTCAAGTACAGAAGCATCTACAGATAGGGTTACAGGATTGGCTTTATGAAATTGATGGGGGTGCCAATAAGCATGACTTCAGTCTTGTCACAGTTAAGAAGAAGGAAATTTTGAGTCATCCAAGTTTTTATGTCAGAGATGCAATTAAATAGAATAGAGACAGCCACATCAGTGTCAGGTTTGGTATGGATGTAAATTTAAGTATCATCAGCGTAGAAATGATAGCTGAAGCCATGTGATCTTTAAAGCTGACCAAGTGGAAACATGTAAATGCATGTAAGAGCAAAGGGCCCAGTATTGAGCCCTGAGGAACACCAGACTTAACAAGACCAATTTCAGACCTATGCCCATTAAGACAGACAAAGTGACAGCGATCAGTGAGGTAAGACTTGAACCATATGAGAACAGTGTCAGAAACTCCAAACACAGTCTCAAGACAAGAAAGTAGGATGTCATGGTCAACAGTGTCAAAAGCAGCACAGAGATCAAGAAGAATGAATATAGAAAGAGAACCAGAATCAGAGGCTATTAGAAGATCGTTTGTGACTTTGACCAGGGCAGTTTCCGTGCTGTGAAGTTGGCGGAAGCCAGATTGGAGGGGTTTAAAAAGGTTATTTGTCACGAGGTGGTTATGTAACTGAAATGTGACAGCATGTTCTAGAATTTTTGCAAGAAAGAGTAAGTTGGAGATGGGGAAAAATTGTTAATATTGTCGAGAGCCATGTTAGGCTGCTTTGGCACATGGGTAATGGTAGCAGTTTTGAGGACTGTTGGTACAATGCCAGTGCTCAAGGATTAATTTATAAATTGAGGACAATTGGACAGAAAGAAGAGAAACATGACTGAAATAAAGTGGTGAGAATGGGATCTAAAATAGATGTGGTGGGTTTCATTTGTGTAACTAGTTTATTGAGGGATGCTGAGTCAAGAAGAGAGAAACTGGAGAGAAGGGAACCAGAAAAGTTGGATAA